GTAGGAATTGAACCTACGAATTCGCCAATTATGAGTTGGGCGCTTTAACCATTCAGCCATGGATGCTTAGCGGGGATCCTCGTACATGGTGAATAACCAAATTCCAATTGAAATGAAATCTTTAGGATAAATCAATGCAATTTAGGACTTTTTGACCCATGTATCGGTAAGTATTAGCCATACCTAAAGACTTTTTTTATTTAGGCACAAGTTATTTATATGTTAAAATTGAATATGCAGCAAAAGATTTTGTGTCAACCTTCTGATGACACAATGAAAGATATAGTAGAAGATTATTTTGGAATTTACAGATACACTGGCCCCCTTCATGCTTGTGAGGAGGTAACATGATAAAATACTACTATTACCCAATTTCGAAATTTACCATGCATAATAACATTTGATCCATGTTATGTATTTATTTATTTTTTGCATGTACATTCGACGTTCTTATCCTATTGGGCCAATTCAGAAATTAAGCAGGGTTTGAATCAAATTAAAGCTTTGGGAGGATATTTAAATGTTGAGGTAAATATTTACAACACATGACTTTTTATAATTATAGCTCAATTTACATTACACCTGTGACATTAACAAGTTATTGTATATCTGTGAATAGGTGGCTTTGCCTAACATTGTTGAAAAGTCCAATGCAGTAACTCTTAGCCAGGGAAGAATTGACAAGAATGATGACTCCCGATTGGCTAAAGTTGAGAAACAAGTCATTGAAATTCATGCCCTTTTGGTCCAAGGCCACAAGGACACAAGGCAAGATGAGGATGACAAACGTCTAACCAAAGTGGAGAATCAAGTTGAAAAAATTCTTGAGTTGTTAGAAAAACACATGCCAGTTGATGGAGAACATGTTAAAACACCACCAAGCAAACTACATGAGGAGCATCGAATTGACATTGAAATGGTTGGTCTCGATGTTAGCGGTATCGAAAAGGTTGCAACCAATTCCCCGAAGTTTGTAGATGAGGATGAGATAAGGAATATGAATGACAAAGAACCAATGGAAACTTCGCGTTCGAGAAAAACAAATTCAATCCTCACACCACCAAATGCAAAGGCAGTTGCAAAGAAACGAGCCAAATTGGTTGGTGGGAAAGCATTAAATAATGAACAACTTTCTATTCCACAAAAGGGGCGATCGCGCGCAAAAAAGAGTGATACAAAGGCAGTTGAAGTGAATGCTGTAACAATGTCATCATCATGTAGTGTTGTTCGTGGTCCTCAGACTCGAGGGACCCAGAATTGCAAAGCCAGTCAATGGTTGCGTACACCTTTTGTGAAATTTGATGTAAAGAAGAAAAGACCACAGTTGAAGCCATCGTCAACTGACAACAATGTTGACAATAATATTCATGACAATCTCGATGAAGTAAACTAAATGATTGTGTCTCAAAACATATTTGATATATGTGTAACAAATAGTGCTTGTTTCTTACTTTTTTTTTACTTGTATCAGCTATTTGATAATTTACTTGATCAACTTGGGGGTAATGTTGTTCCTGAAATCCCAAAGGTTTGGAACTAACTATTATAGTATCTTTTGTATATCTGGTTATTTTGCACTAACTCCATCTTTATGAACATACACTAACCAAGCTTGATTTGTTTTATGCACTATTCTTCTCAATACCTTTACAAGTCATCCGTGCCTTTGCCAGACCCATTAAATGACTATGACAGTCTCGTTCTACGATATGCATTTGATGAATCTCTTTCAGAAGGGTACAATTTGACTACCTTTAACTTGTTATGTATGAAGTACTATACCTTTTAACTCACATAGTTATCCATGTGCTAGGGAATATCTTGTACGAATGAAACTGCACTACGTGGAAGTACAATCTGCCACACGGAAGGAATTGTGGTCCTTGAAACCATATCAGTGGATATCCTCGTGTGTAAGACTTTTCTCCTTCTCCTATTTTATTTGCTACCATTCCATCATCCAAGTTACTTTACTTTGCCTATTCATAAATTTCATATATTTTGCACTGCAGATTATAAATCTCATTGTTGTGAAATTGACAAATAAACAAAGGAAAAAGTTTCCAAATAAGGATCACATGGTTTGGTACTTTCCGAACCATGTATCGGTAAGTATTAGCCATACCTAAAGACTTTTTTCATTTAGGCACAAGTTATTTATATGTTAAAATTGAATATGTAGCAAAAGATTTTGTGTCAACCTTCTGATGACACAATGAAAGATATAGTAGAAGATTACTTAGAAATTTACAAATACACTGGCCCCCTTCATGGTTGTGAGGAGGTAACATGATAAAATACTACTATTACCTAATTTCCAAATTTACCATGCACAACAACATTTGATCCATGTTATGCATTTATTTATTTTTACATGTACATTCGACGTTATATTTTTAGATTTACATGCCCTTCAACCATGGGGAAAACCACTGGTTGTGCTTGAATGTAAACATGGAAAAACGGGTTGCCTATCTATTCGACTCCAGCAGATGTATTGACACCGATGAGGATCGAAAAAATCAAGCTACATTATTGGTAATAGAATAACCATTATGATACCACTTGTATCCACTTTTTTGTTTCTTGATCTATGTACCTTACTACCTACCACCAACAGGTACAATCATTGCATAAGCTGTTTCAATATGCGCATGGAGAAGATTATGTTCAAGATGTTAGTTCGTTTGCATTTCAATGGTTGGAAGACATGCCACGCCAAGACAACAGGTAATACACTACATTATCGTTCTTAATTTTTAAATAAGCATTAATGTTATAATCTCTAAGTTTGTTGACTCTATTGTTACAACTACACTCATTCCTATAGCTATGATTGTGGTCTTTTCGTCATCAAATATATGCAAGGGAAACCTTTGCCTTCGGGTGTAATCAAGGTACTTACATTTATACCCAACTGTCCACTTATCAGTATCTTATGTTTTATGAAGACTAATTTTATAATGTGTGATGTTTTTACGTACTCACTACTTTTGGCATGTAGTTTGACTATTTGCATAGGGCTCGCTTGTTACTTGATCTTGTGATATACAAGCATAATTCAGCTCCTATTGTTGGTGATATCGCGCAATATAAAGCTGGTGATGCTCTATTCTTTTTTATTTTTCATAAGTTCGTACAATCAATGACGTTATCGCATTTCTTAAACTCGTGAACTTTGAGTTTATAACTCAACCTTTGTTATAAAATTATATTCTCAAGTGTTCTATCTTGTGCAGAACTCAGATTTAGGGGTGAATTGAAATGGAAGTAGAGGCCATACGACTTTTGTGATCTTGAAAGAATGAAAGATAGTGGATAAGGTTGTGGGAGCGAACAAAGACAAGTTGCTACCATTGAAATAGGAGCTCATTTGAATGGAATAAATTCCTTTTTTCATCCTTTCATCTCCCATCACCCTCTCTATGAATAGCACGTTAACTTTACTGAATAACATATATATTGGCTAACATGGGCTGGAAATTAGATTTTGTTAGTGAGACCTATAATGGTATGTTTGTTTTGAAATACTTAAACTAGCATGAGTTTTGCAGATCTTATTGATGTTTGGAATGAATGGAGGCATTATCAATACATCATTACCAACTTCATACTGACTTTGTTGGTCATTTTATTAAGATAGTGCCAACTACTATTTATAGGATAAAAGAGCTGTGCTTGTATTAACCATTTTCTTCATTAACACATGTTTATTGCTTTACAGGTTAGTGGAATGCCAACGTTTGGTATTCCTGTTCAAGATGGTGGCATTGGTTTTGACTATCGCCTGCATATGGCCATAGCAGATAAATGGTTGATTTTGACCATAAAATCAATTGGATAGATTTTGACCATAAATAGTTGATTTTGACCATAAAATCAATTGGATAGATTTTGACCATAAATTTATAATTTTATTTTAATTTGATCCAATTAATTATAGCTTCTGTCTGCCCATCCAAAGCACAAAAAAAGAAGATGAAAGAAATAAAGAAAAGAAAGAGGGCCTGTCACCTTTCTCTATCCTTTTCATTGCTGTAAAATAAGGCCACTTTCTAAACATTTAGTAATTCTTGACTTCACTTTACATATCATCAATGCAGGATAAAAGGAAAAAATTATTCAGTAGCCACTTTGTGGCATTACCATAATGGTTGTGGTGGCTAAAATGACAGTTTGGCCATTTTCAAGAGAATATTTTATGGGAAAAAACGATCGAATAATGGCATTCAATTTTCTATATGCACTTGTTGTTGCGCATTTGCTTCGAAAATGAGCAAAAACACTAAACAAAATGGCTTCATAGCCTTTGCTAGTGCAACTGTGGTCTAAAATTTATATTAAAACCTTACACATATATACATCTTAAAGAATTAATCCATCAACGATATTAAAACCACACACATATATACATCTTGAAGTGTCTTTTGATGAACCTGGACGGAAGATCAACAATATTGAAAAGCGAGTTACTACTGCAAGGTAGTGTACGATTTCTTACAACCTCGTTTGGTGAATGATAATTCCTTACAAAATCAGTCATGCATTATTTTCCATCCCTTCCCTTAACAAAATTCTTTCTTCAGGAAAAAAAAGAAGTGTGCATAAAAAATATAAACTTCCATACAGCAAAACAAATATCCATCAACCATCATTTAAGAGCATTTATACAAAATACTAACAGATTTAAGTCCTCAAAAAATTTTAAAAAAAAATATTAGTTTAGCTCCCAATGTCACCCGCTCGATCATATCAACTATTACCCACAGCAACACCTGCAAAAACAAATTATATTGTTGTTAAGGTTTGTTCACTTCAAATCTATGATTCAAATCATAACAAATTGAATTTTGATATATTGGTCATTACACACTCTTTTGTCATTTTTTGTTCGTAAATTATTTATTTTCATAATCAAGTTGTAAACATCATAATTACTTATGACATATTAATGTTCTAGCTAAAATCTATCTTGGCATATCAAGAAATTAGAATTAAGCAGCCACACATAAAATTTGCAAAGCAAATGTAAGCAACATGAACATAATTTGAACTGAAAAGATGCCATAAAAGTAATCACCTAGAGACGTGTCCGCATCAGTGAACGTTGAATTTTGGACGACTTGTGCATCGCAACTACGCAAGTCATTAACATCCTTGCTCAACTGCACTGGAGAAGTATCCACTTTAGTGACAAAAAGTCGTCTCTTCACAGGGTGGGTCTTACATGGCCTCATATTATTCCTGGGACGCTTCGGTGTAAAAGGGGTGGGAGTACCAATTGGATCATAATCATCGTATTCCTCAAACAAACTACTACCCACTTGTCCCGTTTTATGATCGTTTTGGGGGCAAGTTCTCCTTGTATGGCCGACGACCCTACATTGTCAAGTAAATCAACAATTATTAAAGAGAACAAAAATGCCAATACTACCTCACAATAACAAAATTAAGACACAAAGCACAATATAATGTATACCTGCAACATTGGCATCGCCTTGGCTAAAGGCTTTCGAGGTTTAGCCATGTAGGATCCCCCAGTATTCCCCTTCGTGTTCACTATTTTCGGATCCCCAACCCCAAATGGCGGCAATGACCTTTTTTCTTCATCAACATTAGTTCCCTTGGCCATGCAAAACTGCTTCATCCGGCATGTCATAGTGAAAAATGCATTTCTAGCCTCTTCAAATCCTTCAGATGTTTGTGAGGCATAGTAACACATTTCAGTAAAAGAAGAGCAAAGAACCCTAAAACGTGTCTCCTATGTGAGAGTGTTAGAGAATTGGGCTTGGCAATGTTGTTCACCAACCTTTCTTGCTTGCTTTGTCCAACGATGCATCACACAACTTGGGGGAATTTCAGTCATGTGTTCACATTTCATCACAGAAATCATGTGGCTTCAAGGAAGTCCAAAGAACTCAAACTTTTTGCAACTACATTTCATTATGCTAGTTGTGGGATGGTATGACACTTCCCATGTGGAACCAAATTCAGTGTACTTTGAAAATTTGTATATGCGATGATCGAACTCCTCTTTCCTTCCATCAAAAATCAACAATGCTTCCTCAATTATTTCATTACGGAACATTAAGAACAAACGTCTGGTAAAGATGGTTGCTGCATCTTTCTCTAGAGGCTGAAGTGCTGTGGTAAGACAAGAATCACTGTTGTCAGTTTTTGCCTCGGCATCCGCTTCTTTGTTTCGTAATCGATAAAGGGCCATGTCAAAACATCTAACAAATTCGAATAGTTTCAATTTTCGTTTGAGGTGCTCATTGAAAAAAGCATGCATACCCTCACAACGCTGACTGCTCTTCATTCCAGCAAAAAAATGACCACGCAAATATGACTGAGCCCACATGCCTTTGTTGTTGTAGGTGTCTGATACCCACTTGTTATTTTGAAGGCCATATTTTCTGACCATCTTACTCCAAGCTTCCTCAAATACAACCTCATTTGCATCAAGATCCATGAGATGCTTGAAATGTCCCTCGAATCCATCGACTCGAACATTTCGCTTGGCATTTCTGTGCATATGCCAATTACATAGATGATGCTTGGCACTCGGGAAAACTTTTTGTATTGCCTTACGCATAGCCATATCCCCATCTGTCAACACTGACACCGGTCTTTTGCTATCCATGGCCTCTAACAACTTCTACAAAACCCATGTGTATGGTGCAATTGTCTCATCAACAAGCAAGCTGTATGCAAATATGGTGGTTTCAAAATGGTTATTGACCCCGGTGAAAATAACGAAAGGTTTGTTATATGCATTCGTTTTATAAGTTGTATTGAAGACCAACACGTCACCAAATGCAGCATAGTCTAGGCGAGACCTTGAATCTGCGCAAAACAATTTGTCAAGCCGATTCTCTTGATCCTTGTCATACTTGTAAAAGAAGTAAGGGTCATCATCAACTTTTGCACATAAGTAAGCCAAAGCACACTTCGCATCACCATCCTTCATTTCTACTTTGCGCTCGGCTTGAATATAATTATGCAAATCCTTGTGAATAAAACCCACATTCGGGAAAGACCTAGATTGTTGCACCAACAAATCCATTATCTGGCTTGTCTTGACACCAACATCGTGCAAAGTCTTTACTTGAGCTTTGTCGGGGATCTTTACAAACCTATGCGACCGAAGAAATGGCACACATGGTGATGTTGCCAATGGATGGTTTTGTTCCATGTTAAAGTGAGTGACAATGTATTTGCCTACATCCAGATTGTACCTTATGCGAAAATGAACATCACAACCAACTCTAGTCAATGCCCTGGCAGCTCTTTTTCGATCAATACGGGCCAAGTGTTACTTTGCTCTTTGGCCTTGCCTTGAGCATACCCATTTTCTACTAAGAACCTTTGTTGCCTGCATTGTTCGCGTGTCTTTCCTAATGCTAAATCCCACACCTTTAGCATATTGATTATAGAAATCATTGGCATCCTCTTCTGAATTGAATTGCATTTCAAGAACATCATTCTTGGTTAAACTTTGAATAGGGTCATTTGCATGGGAACCTAATTCTTCTTTATTCCCACAAACTTCGTCATCTTCAAGCTTACGCTCAAATTTAGTACATCCAAAAGGATCCATGATAACTACATCAAAAACAATACGAAAAGAATAACATTATCTTATAAAATGAATGAAAATTCCTAAAATCACATAAGAGAATTTTGTAAAAGAGCAAATAATAGACCAAAACAATAATAGAATAATGTACATAGATTTAATGACATAGTTATTGAAAATCAAAATAAATAGAGAATGACTCTGTAATCAACAATCAAATTATTGGTTGATCAATAGAAACACAATAAAATAGAAACAAAGAAAAGGAAAAAGCAAATAAATAAAAATATATGGAGACTCATTAAGGCAATTCATTTGAGTTCTTTGGTATTTTTCTTAATTGACTTGGGTTATTTTTAGGTATTTGGATTGCTCTAAAACACACCCGCAAGTATTACTTTATACACTGTCCAACTTATAGCAAATAATTAATCAAACTTATAATTTTATAACTTTACAGCAAAGAATTAATAAAACAAATAAAAATAAAATGAATTTTATTTCGACTATATATAATATTAGTAATTAGAATTCACAGAATTTTTTTGACTTATCCTCCTTGTATAAGTTAAGATCTATTCTTCAATATCACGGAATGTCTTTTTTTTCTTAAGACTTCAATAAAAGATTATTTTGGAACAATGAATAATTCATTATGAATTAAGACATAAGAAACTTCGGAATTCTGGAATAAATCAATGGAAAAACTGGTTAAGAGGTCATTATCAATACCATTTATCTCAGATTAGATGGTCTAGATTAATAGCAGCAAAATGGAAAAATAGAATCAATCAATGTCGTGTAATTCAAAATCAATATTTAAACAAAGAGAATTCATATGAAAAAGACCTATTAATTCATTACAAAAAAGAAAACGATTAAGAATTATATTCATTACCAAATCAAAATGAGAATTTTCAAAAATACTATAGATATAATCTTTTATCTTATAGATCTATTAATTATGAAAATAAGAGGGACCCATATATTTATGGATCACCATTCCAAGTAAATAAGAATCGAGAGAGTTTTTATAATTACAACACACATAAACATAAGGGCAAATTTTTTGATATACTAGGGGATATCCCTATCAAAAATTATTTAGGAAAAAGTGATATTATGTATATGGAAAAAAATCCGGATCGAAAATATTTTGATTGGAAAATTCTCTATTTTTGTCTTAAAAAGAAAATCGATATTGAGGCCTGGATCAAGATCGATACCAACAATAATAAAAATACTAAAACCGGGACTAATAATTATCAAATAATTGATAAAATTGATAAAAAAATATATATTTTTTATCTTACGATTCCTCAAGATCAAGAAATCAATTCACCAAATAAAATAAAACCGTGGTTTATACCAAGCAAATTAATTTTTTTTAATATAAATGAAAATGGTAGTGAAGATAAAAACATCAATAGAAAGCAAAAGGAGGTTATACCCTCGAATGAAAAAAAAAAAAATGGAATTAAAGAATAAAAATAAAAAAGAAAAAGAATCTGCAGGCCAAAGAGATCTTAGATCAAATGCACAAAACCAAGTAAATCTTGTATCTGTTCCCTCAATTATTTGTCCAAATATCACCTAATTATACACATGTCACCTATTTGTCCCACCTTACCGCTACCAACCATTGTTGCCAGCTACCGCCATCCACCAGCCATTGGCAACTTTTTCAACAACTTTAGGAGTGATAAACGAATTCCACAACTTGAGCTCGACTTATGTTCAGCTCATTAAAAACTCGTTCGAGCTTAGTTCGTTAAGTAAATAAGCCAAACTTGAACACATTTTCAAACTCATTAAAGTTTTCAAATTAAGCTTGAATAGTCAATTGCTTGTTCGGCTCTGTTTGATGAATCTAAAACTACCAAACTACTTGAGGTTGGCTTGAGAAAAACTCATTTGATATGGACTCGAAAATTTAACGAACCAAAGTTGAACAAATTTTAAAATTAGCTAAAGTTATCAAAGCAAGTTATAACAATCAATTGTTCAGCTCGTTTATTATCCCTAAAGAGGGTTTAAATAGGACTACAACTATTTGTCTTTCTCATTTTACATCCCCTCCATACCTTATTCTTTCTACTACTTACAACACAATTCTGGAAGCAATTATTATATATGTAGAATCACTTGAAAGTAAAATAAAATAAACACTCTAGAGGATTCATGCTTCGCCTGTGATGGGTGGCTGAAGGCAAAAATCTCAGTATAGAATTTTCAAATGTCTATCAAAATTAATGAATTTACTTGAACCAAACTCTCTTGTGATGTATTTGCCCTAGAGTTCTTTCTTTTCAAACATGTGCATTTCTCCACTCCCTCAAAATTATGTTTATTTTTGTCGTGGGTGGGAAGCAAAAGTATCAGTTTAGAATTTCCAGATATTTACATGTCATTCAACAAATTTGAGTTCAACCAAAAATGAATTCAATCTTTCTCTTGTGACATCATCTCCCTCTAAAAAAAAGACGATACACCCGCAAGTATCCTACTATCAATTAAAATAAACAAACAAAATAAAAGCACACCTGCCAGTGCCCTGCTATCAATTCAAAGCAAATAAATTCAAAAAACCAGAAGCAACTAGCCTACTATCAATTAACATGAAACAAATAACTATCAATTAAAATAAAAAAATAAATAAAAAAAGACAGCACAAATAAATAAAATAGTACATCTGCCAGTGCCCTGCTATCAATTAAAATAAACAAATAAATAAAAAAAAAGATAGCACAAATAAATAAAATAGCACACCCGCCAGTACCCTGCTATCAATTAAAATAAACAAATAAATAAAAAAAGGCAGCACAAATAAATAAAATAGTACACCTGCCAGTGCCCTGCTATTAATTAAAAGCAAATAAATTAAAAAAGACAGCACAAATAAATAAAAAAGCACACCCGCCAGTGCCCTGCTATTAATTAAAAGCAAATAAATTAAAAAACACACCTGCTAATGCAACCGCTAGAGAAGAAGAGATGGAGGAGGTATAGCTTTACTTCTACGTTAAGATGGAGAAATTGAGGACCTATAACAAACAAAAACAGAACATTGAAACAGAGTTAGTAAAGAAGACAATACGAAAGGAAATTAATGATTGTGAGGAGAAAAGAAAGAATCTATGTAGGAAAAATATTATTTTGCACATCTTTTGACGTTAACAAACTGCATAAACAACAACAAAGATGAAAGTCTACTACCTTTGTTCAAGGTCTCAATAACCATTGCATAAATAAACACTTAAACAAATGTACCACAACCAACCGTTTGACCACTTCAACAAAAATGATCTTCAACTTATTTCTCATATCAATAAAACTTTTTCCTAGTAGCAAAACTATTACAAAACTACTCTGAAATTTATTTTATTTTCACTTTTTATTTATTTATTTATTTATTTGTCTATATAGTACTTCTAATACTTATTTTATAGATAATCAATGTGTTCTCTTTCACTCTCTCTGAAGAATAATAGGTGACTAAAAAATTTGATAACATGATATAAAGTAAAGAATATTCGGTTATTGGAATTTTACCATAAGATGCCACTTTAATATTTTTTCGTATATATTTTCATCTAGGTCAAAATATTGGATTCACGGGAGTTTTCAGATTAATTTTCAAACCACTAGTTGACAAGTTTCCATATTTTGGGGCTGTTTGTTATTCTTTGATGGAAAATGTGGGTACTTTGTATCTTTGTCACTCTTTGAACTTATTAGTCTAGTTTCCAACATTTTGGAAGTCATCTTCATGATAAATCACGCAAATTTGTGCAAATATTCATATATTTATCATGTCATCATAAACAGAATTATATAAAATTTTGAAAAATTACTATGCACTTGATTTTTGATACTACAATTCCCCCTATGATTCTACCACAGAAAAACATGGACTTTACACTCAAATTCATACACCCAGTTTAGTAGTTAAATAAGTTACACTAATGGACTTGTAATAAAGCTGAAAAATAACAATAATATGGATAAAACTTTACTGCTATTTCAATATATTAACTAAATTTAGGCAAACATTGCATGATTATTTCTAAACCAAAATCAAACAACAAACACAACCAAAAAATAAAAGGAAAAAATACATCGAACTCCAGATGTATGCAAGAACGATCAGACTTGGGTTTGTGAAGTTCTCTCTGAACGGCAACATTAACTCTTTAGGCAATTCAAAACACTTAAAGGCTAGTAAAAATATAAACAATAATAACAATGACATAAAAAATAAAAAACACTCTACCCTTAGTATCTATGTACATCCACTCAAGCTATAGCAATCAGAATTTAATATATGAACCTTTCTATTCTCCAAAACAAATTTGCATTTTGTTTGTGTCACCAAATCAAGCTTAGCTTTAGCAGAGTGTAACTTAGTCACTAGGTTCTTCACTACATCATTCTGAAATTCCAAAGACAAATGAAACACTGAAACTCCATAATAGCCAAAAGGATCATGAAATGATATGTCCATACCACATTTTTTGAAATGATATAGCTCTTAACACTACACTTCCCTGTAAGTTAAGTTCAATAAGTTAGAACAACTTACCTTGTTCATAAGATTTTTATTTATATTTGTGAATGGGGGGACTACTACTCAAAATCGGGCAATTGTTTGGGATTAAATGTAGTTATGATAGTTTATTAGCTTGAAGCAGGAAAACATTATCAATTCAGATAATTTTTTCTTCATGATAATTCCAGGTCAGCTATCATACTGTTCAGATGGTTGTCATGTTTTCCCATCAAAATAAAATCACCATTGAAACAGCATACAACAGTAACAGATCAGAAGCAAATTTTCATAAATGCCATCTAACATTAAGAAAAACTTCTTTTTAATCACACATCATACCTTCAGTTTCACCTATTTGCTCACCAGTTTTATCCTTGATCTGCACGGATTAAAATCAGTATCATTAGAAGAATTTTTGTTTGGAAGTAAAGAGTTAAATATAATGTTTTTTTTTTTTTGGATAAATAATCAAACTTTATTAAAAAAGCATCAAAGTGATACAAAGAGTTAAATATAATTTGAGAAAGCTAGATAAGCAAAATTATTCGAGACCTCCATCCAATATCCAATAGGGACTAAACTGGGTGTACCATGGAAGGAGGGAATTTTGATTTTCACTTCCAAATTTTTGGAGGAAATTATTTGGGGGAAATTATGTAATAATCATAATAAAAAAATCAATTAATTTAGAGTCTTATAATAAAATAAATTATTAATTTATAATTTTATCAATTTACACTCAATTTTTTTTTTTAATATAAATCCTCATCTATTTTTATTAAGTAAAATTAATAATAAAAAAAGGTATTTTACTCATCAACTACAAAATGTATAATTACACCATAAATTGGCGTAAACATAATAGACAAAATTTTAGGTAGCGTTTGGTAACTTTTAGGTTTTGGGTTTATGTTTACAAAAATTTTATAAACTAATTTTTATTTATTTTTAGAAAAACATAAATTACAAACCTGTTTGGTTGAACAAAATGTTTAAAAAAATTTAAAAACATAAACTAAAAAATATGTTTGTTCAGGCCAAAAATATTTATATTTATATTTATTATTTATGACAATGGGATCACACACATTATAATTGAAAAAAAATTAATTAAAAAAAAATAATTGAAAAAAAATTATTTGAAAAAAAATTAATTAAAAAAAATTGAAAAAAAATTAATTGGAAAAAAAATATATGGAAAAAAATAATTGAAAAAAAAATATTTGAAAAAAAATTAATTGAAAAAAATGAAAAAAAAAAGTTAATTAAAAAATTAATTGAAAAAAAAATTAATTGGAAAAAATGAAAAAAAAAAGTTAATTAAAAAATTAATTGAAAAAAAAAATTAATTGGGGAAAAAATATTTGAAAAAAAAAATTAATTGAAAAAAATGATTAATTAAAAAAATTAATTGCAAAAAAAAATCATTTGAAAAAAAAAATTGAAAACTGAAAACCTAAACTCATTTTTTGAGTTTACATTTTTTCCTCAAATTTATAAACTGAGACAACCATTTATAAATCACGACTTAAGCCATGGAACAGATAAACACAGAATATAATGACAATAATTAAATAATTTAATCCACAACTTAAGCCATGGAACAAAAAATGAGAGTTAGAGAAGATTAACCAATAGAGCGAAAGGAAAGGGAATATGAGAAAGTGAGACTGAACGGACTTATCGCCTGTGAAAATAATGTCAAAGATGGTGTTATTTCGATAAGGAACATCGGAGATATCTACAGTGACAGTAAGGAATGGGAGAGATGTTTGACAGATGAAGAGAGCTGAGATAATAGAACAGTACAACAAAATGCGTAATATTCATTTTTCAACAGTTCTATAACATATGTACAAATTGATAAAATCATAACTACGGCTAAAGGTTTGTATATGTGTGACATATTAATGTGAAAGAGCTAGAGTTTCGAGATAAATGCATTTACTAGATACAGAAATATCACCAGAATGAATAGTGTTGAAATACACTGTGAAACCTCGTATTTTTATATAATAAAAATAATATATATATTTTTAATTTTCTTAAATAATTATTCACAATATTTTGAATTTAATATTCTGTATATTTTTATACTGAATATTTATTCAAAACAAAATAAAATAAAATATTTTTGACTTTATATTATTACTCAATATTAATTTCTGAGCCGTATGATATTTTTATTATATTTTTCTCTATATTTTTTTTGTAATCAAATTACACTAAAACCTAATATTTTCTGCACTAAAATGAAGAACTATTTTTGTGGCACTGGAACCTAATATTTTCTGTACTAAAATCCAATCCAAAAAAAAAAAAAAGAAGAAGAAAAACCATGGGCTTGCTCCCCATGTTTTCTCACATCCCACCTTCCACGTGCAATCATTTCCTATAACAAAAGAAACGTGGTGAACATGCTGTGTTCAATTTCTTTTTTTTTTTTATTTCTTTTCATTTTCTTTGATCATCTTTTACTCTTCCTCATTTTGCTTCTCTTCCAATTTCATAGCTTTCTCTCTATCCGTTTCATCTCTCTTTCTCTACACCTCTTATTCTCAAAACTATTTCTTCTTCTTTATCTCTATTCTTACTCCTCCTCCCGACCACCATAGTCACGGCTTTAACCCACACTATCGCCAACCCGCGAACTTCACCACCATTGACGCACCGTCGGACCGCCACCACCACCATCACCTATTTCTATTATCTAGAACCACCATTCACAAAGTGTTGTAGGTGAAGGAAGAGAAGAAGAAGGAAGATGGAGGAGAAAGAAGCAAAGTTAGAGAAGTTTATTTTGAATTTCAAAAGTTGGTTTTCGGCTTACTTTCGGCATGCCAAAACCATCCATTCCGGGAAGAATTGAGAAAAATAGGTCATGTAAGATGAAGTGCGAAGTAATTTGAAGAGATTGACGAAAGAATGAAGTAAAACCGTTAAGGATTAAGAAAGTTATGGGGTCCGAAAGATGGTTCGAAAAAAATGTCCGAGACGGTAGGAAAATAATCTTATTTTTCGTCAAATTTTGAAGATCCGACGGCATGCAAAAAGAGACGGAACGAGGCGTGTGAGTAGTGAACCAAAAACTAGGTCGTGAGTTGAATCCAATGGCAAAAAAATAAGATAAAACGGAGTTACGATAAAGAAGATACAAGCATTTGAACTGGTGACATTGAAACTAAAATTCTGGTTCTTCTGTTCGTGCATGCTACGGCTGTGGGAGAAGATGAGCTTAAATTTTATCCAGTGTTTCTCGGCCCATGGTTCTACGGTGCACCCTAGTACCTTTAGGTTAATCGAATGGTCTTATGACTTTGGGGATGACCACCCTTAGGTTTTTCGACGTGTAGAATCCATTTTTGGGGTTAGATCTTGCAAATTCTGAGTCTAAGATGATGATCAACAACTAAAAGTTCTAAGAGAATCCAATGGCAGATCAACGGTGAGATCGCGTCCGATTGATGTGAAATTTCAGCAAGACGATCATGGAGCCAGGACGATCATATCTTACGATCAGAATCATAAATCAAATTCGGACGATAAATCGTTAACAACCTAACATAGTAAGAAAACTCTCATAACCGTCTCATTCTTTTTAATTGTTAAATTTTTAGATTTGTGTTCATATGTTAACATAGCTAAAGCTTTAGATAAAATTTTGTTTATAGTTGTATGTAAATTTGTGATTGGTATGTTAAATATTTGAAGGTCATTTCTTTATTAGTAGCCTTAAATCATGATATAATCCTGGAATTAGATTTGCATGTGTAGTTTGTGCCATTAAAGAGATGATTAAAGATTTTATTTGGTTCGATTATATAACTCTTCAATTTGCCAAAAACTTGTACGAATTTTTAGACAATTTTATGCTCAAAATTTTGAAAGGATTTCTTCTACAAAGTTGTTGATAATGATGTCTAGTTTATCCAGAAATTTTTGAAAATAATTTTTGAGCTTTCTACGAATTTATAAAAAAATTTAACTAAATCTGAAACTGGGTTGAGAAATCTGTCTTGAATCTGCCAGCATGTTACCCGAATTTTTAGACAATTTTATACTCAAAATTTTGAAATGATTTATTCTACAAAGTTGTTGAGAATGATGTCTAGTTCACCCAGGAATTTTCTTAACAATTATTGAGCTTGGTAAGAATTTATACAAATTTATAATTAAATCTGCTACTGTAAGACAGATTTATGTTTAAAAACTTATTAAAAATTATATATTAAGCCAAATCTGGTAATTTCTAACTAAAATATGAAATTTGAGAAGTCTAATTTCATACTAAAATTTTAGATTATGGATCTGATTTATAAAATTTAAGTATGGAATTAATTTAAGAAAAGGTGATAAATCTGTGTCATAAAATTTCTGAGAATTTTACAGAATTATTTATAACTTATTTCTGGGAATTTATTTCTGAAAAATGACCCAAACATATTTATTGAATATTCTGTACATTTTCACAAATTTTAGAATTTTTCTGGACAGGATAAAATCACCACTTTAATATTATGCTAGTCTAATTTTGTAAATCAAAAATTTGTGCATGTGTGTATTTATGGTTTAATTCTTGTATCTAAGTTATTATTTCATGCCATGGTTTAAATAAATTGTTTATTTAAATGCTGTACATTTATTTATTATTGTGTGACATGTGTAATATTTTATGTTGGGAATTTTAATGAGTTGATATAACATCAATTGTGATTAAAATTTGGAATTATTTGTGAGTAATATCAAAATTAACTGAAATGATTAACGGGATATACAAAGTTAACAATTGACGGTTAATACCAGTTGTTCAGAGTGAGTCTTGGTTTTAAAGAGTGTACGAAATTAAGGGTTGACGGTTAATACCGGTTGTTCAGGGTGAGTCCTGATTTTAAAGAGTGTATGAAATCAAGGAATTGACGATTAATACCGGTTGTTCAGGGTGAGCCCTGGTTTTGAGAATTCTCACGTAAATTGTGTTGCGAAACTCTAAGATGGCACGGGACTTATTTGAACCATTTTCGGTATTTGGCTTTGGAATAAGGGTGGATGTGCCGGTGGCACACAGGGAGGTTACGTACCCCTGGCAGACCGTTTCCTTAGGGCAAACCACGGATGCTACTACTTGGGTATATAACTCCGGACATGGGCATCCCTGGTAGTTACGGTTTGTAACACTAAAATATTTAACCAAGGGAAGGGGTTCAAATTAACCGTTGCCATGCTTAGTGGTTGGTAAGTTAAATCTCTTTGGTGAGATTTCGAGTGTCACCTAATTTATTAAAATTATTGGAATTATTTTAATGGTTGTAATTTATGCTTACAATTATATTGTTATCTCATGTTTATAATCTCATTATTTTTCTCTTAAAAAGAATGGTAGGTTGGTTATGTTTTCTTACTGTGTTGCAAAACTCATGGCATATATTTTTGTTGCCCTGGCGTTTTATGCCAGGTTTTGGCGAGGAAATAATTGAAGCGGAAATGGAGTTGACGCTAACGTAGAGCCCTGGCTGACCTGAAATCATGACTAAAGTCGAATAACTTTATTATCTTATAAATTAGCTATTAAGGACCTTATAATTTCATTTGACGTTGTATTTGGATAATCTTAAGTTTTTATTAAATATTATTTGAATCTTTGGTTATGTACGAGAGCTGGAATGTCCTATTAAGATGTCAACTTTTTAGTTTATTAAGTCATTTTGTTTATTTAATTTCCCTTGATATGTTTAAAAAAAATTTGGGGCGTCACATACACAGAGAAAATAGTGACGAGTTCAAGGATCTATTGCAGAGACATAAGAGTATAGAGAAGAAGAATCCAGTGAGGAAGAACTATCAACGATGGTCGTTCGATGATTTCACCGAAATAGAGAAGTCTGATTAAGAAGTAGAGAGAACTCAGGCACAACTAGGACAAATCAAGGGAAAGAAAATTGAGTGGAGAAAAAAATGAAGAATAGTTGGAAAAAAAATTTAGGAAAAAAATTATTTAGTACAACAAAATAAAATCACGTCATAGATAATTTTTTTCAGCATATTTTTATTAAAATTTAGTTAAATTATATATATATATATATATATGTCTATAAGTGTATATAGATATTTTAAAAAGTCTATCGTTTGTATATTATTATTTCTATTATCTTTAATGAAGATACCGTGACCAAAAATAAAGCTAAAATAGAGATAGGTGATCAATTGCAATTGTCACTTAGAGATAACAGTTCAAAATTAATTGAGAGAGTTAAAGAGTTTAGAGAGAATGAGAGTTTGAGAAACAGATTTGTTTGTGAGAAATAAAATGTGAGAGGGGTGATATTTATAGGACTTGGGAGGGATGAGTTAATTTATATATATATAAAAATAAAATAAAATAAAAATTGATTGTTGGTGGAATTAACGATTATATGACTCTTTCAAATTGTTTTGATTTAAATTTTTGACCATTGCACTGACAAGGGGGGCAGGAAGCCATTGGGGTCGAGTCAAGCCAGATGAGTTCACGAGATGGGTCACACTCCATAACACCAAGGTCGGGCTGGGCTCTAGAACACATATCTTAGGTTGGGTTTAGGCTCGAGCCTAGTTGGGTCTACCTAGGGCACGAGCAGACTTGGGGTGTACCGCGAGCTCGTGGGCCAAATTTACACCCCTACATGTGGGTAGTGGTTATGAAATATATGATTAGTGGTTATGATATGTGATATTGATTATGAAACAAAGGGTGCTGGTTATGAGATGTGGTTATAACATATGTGGGTAAAAGTAATGAGATATATGATTAGTGATTATGAGATATGTGATTTTGGTTATGAGCAGAGTGGTATAGTTATAAGTCAAAGTTAAAAAATAGGACACGTTTTGAGGAGTGTCGGACACGTGTCGGGAAGTGTCCGAAGAGTGTCGGTGTCCGACACGGACACGACACGGATACGTCACCTTCTTAGAAGTGTCCGTACTTCTTAGGTTATGAGCAAAGTGGTGTCAAAGGGTGTTTGGTTATACTATATATGTTAGTGGTTATGAGATATGTGTGTAATTGTTATGAGCAAAGTGATGTCAAAAGGTGTTTGGTTATGCTATATGTCTTAGTGGTTATGAGATATGTGGGTAATGATTATGAGCAAAGTGGTGTCAAAGGGTGTGGTTATGCTATATGTATTAATGGTTATGAGTTATGAGGTATTGGTTATGTGACTAGTGGTTATGAGATATGTGATGTTGGTTATAAGATATGTGATTAGTAGTTATGAGATATGTGATGTCAGTTATGATCAAAGTGGTGTAGTTATGAGCAAAAAGGTGTTAATTATAAGATATGTGATTAGTGGTTATGAGATATGTGATGTTGGTTATGACAAAATGGTGTTGGTTACAAGATATGAGAATAGTGGTTATAAGATATGTGATGTTAGTTATGACTCAAAGGGACTAATTATGAGATGTGATTATGATTTACGTGAGTAGTAGTTATGAGATATATGATATTTGTTATGATCAAAGTGGTGTTGGTTATGAGATATGTCATTATGATTATGAAATATGTGATATTAGTTATGAACAAAATGGTTTTGGTTATGAAATGTGGTTATAAAATATGTGATATTAGTTATGAACAAAATGGTATTGGTTATGAGACGTGGTTATAACTAAGTTATGATCAATTTAATTATAGTTATGAAGAAATATGATTTTAACTCATAATTATAAAAAGTGACCTATTTAACAGGTCATTTTTAATGATGTGACTCAATTCTAGCCATTGATTTTTTGTGTAGACTTTCCCTCCAAACTACACCACAAAAATCATTACCTAAATAGAAGAAGGGTAGGAAGGTGGTCACTTTCACTCTTCTTGGCCACTTTCAACTCCTTTTCTTGTCCCTTCTTTCCCTCAAACAAAGAAAAAGCACAAGGAACGGCAATGGTGAGATCAAGGTTCAAGTTCAACTCATTTGAGCTTGAATTGTCATCTTCAGGGCAAGTTGCGTTGAGCGACACCCTATCGTTGTCGGTGAAGGCTTTCAATGGCTTGGAGGCATCATTGGTGGACTCAGACGACGTGGTGAGATTCGACATGTACTGGTTTTGTGGGCGAGGAAGGGTTTGGTTCAATCGATGGTTGTTTGGATCGATACCAATTCTTATTAGCTTTCTCTTTATGTGAGAATTCCAGTAGTTCTTCACTTCATTGTCCGTTCGCCCCGGTAACCTTCCAGCTATCAGGGACCACCTAACAGTCCATAAAGATTCATTAATTAGCCATAGTAGAGGCAAGCAACAGCAATTGCACACAGTTTTCTACACAAGTCCTATTTGTAAAAAAGACTGGACGCTCTCAAGCGGATCAGACGCGTGGATTGAAGAGAATTTAAGCCCTAGGTTGTATTCCAAGTGCGAGGTTGAGAGCACTCGTGGAAGAATAAGTCTATATATATATATATTTATAATTTTTGAAAAATATGAAAAATGTATGTCAGAACTATTAAATGCACTTTGAACGAGGATAATGAATTTTTGATTTTTTTTTACTTTTTGAATGAAAAATTTGAAATTTTTCTGATATAATCACAGTAATTTCTTTGAATGAGAATAATTTTTTTTTTTTTTCAACGTTCTTCTTATACTAAGGTGATTTAGAGTGATGTGATTTAAATAAGATGGCATAATTAGTGACTTTTTAACTTTTTAATTTTTTTAAGTTATGCTAAACAAGGCCTAAATATTGTGATAATAAAGATGCAACTCTTTTTTCTTTTTCTTTTTTTTTTTTGTTGTCGATGGTGTTATTATAATTTATTTAACCTCGCATATCTATTGATTGAATCAAATGTATAACTCAGCAATTCATATTTATATAAAAATTTATATTTGAACATTTAATTTTAATAAGTATTGGTGTTTGATACCCAAATATATTCAGTTATATATGTTTGATTCTAGGTTAGGTCGAAAAATTATTTCTTGATTTAAGATTGTCACGTGATCATGTCCTTACCTAATCACAAATTATTATATTTTTTAATTACTCAATACAAAATTTTAAAATTCACCCATTTAACCAATTACATCACAGCTAAAATATTACGTGATTGGTTAGGTTGGTGCCCTCAGGATTGCCTTGGAATGGAAATGCGTGTCCATCAACCTAATGTATTTATTTATTGTTTAACTAATTTATTTATTTTGATTGAGATTTATTGTTTAATTTATTAATTTGTAACTGTACTATAAAATATTATATTTGTATGGTCTTCGCTTAGAAGACACTCCAATTTATTTCTTCATCATGCCCAAAACAAGCAAAGGTGCTGATTCAAAACAAATAAAGAAGAAAAAATTACAATTGAGTGTATGTCTTCCCAGTACAAAAAAAACAAAATAAAAAAAATAAAAAAACAAGTGTATGTCTTCCATAAAAAAAAATAAAAAATTAATTAGTGATAAATTTTATTAATTTTAATAATTAAATTTATAAAAAAAATTTATATATTTATAAATATTTTTTAAAAGCACTACTGATTTATAATTTTCTCAAGAAAGAACCTCTGTAGTTAAATAGTGTCCCAATCACGGGATCAGGGCCCAACCTCCTTTGATCCAATTTGAACTTAAAAATTTCAACAATGATTCATCCCACTAAAAACATCACCACTAATAGCACTAATGCATTAAAAAAATAAAAAAATAAAAAAAAAACACACAAATCCATGACCAAAACATCACATCATTAATGGCGGGACCCACTACCACCTAATTAGTGGGAGCACTAATTAGTGCTCCCAAACATTTTTCTAAAAATTTTGCTCACCACCACCAAAGTTCTAGAACCTACCAAGCTTAACTTTCTGTGCACTTATATGTAGTAGCTACGACATGATGTGACACATTTAGAACCTAGGCACCAGATACGAGGAAGGGCGTAGTAAACGAGGAGGTGTTTGGAGAGTTAAAAATAAAAAAAATGTTTGAGCGTCACAAAAAGTGTGGCTCAAATGACTAAAAACTGTCAAAATGACGTCGTTTCGTGTCGTTTTACGCTTAAAACGACATCGTTTTGACAATTTTGAGCCATTTGAGTCACAATTTTTATGACCCTCTACCATTACTCTAAAAATAAACATAAAGTAAGAGATAAATTTGTCACATAAAAATTATGGGAAATTTAAATTTAATTTTTTAATTAAATCTAAACTACCCATTAAATTACGAGATCCAGTTCACCCCGTTGTAATTAAAGTGCACCATTTAGTTCAATTTATATAATCTATAAATTTTTCTATCTATTATCAATTAATTTTGATTTTGGGTTGAGAACTTTGGAATGGCCTTTAGTCTTCATTATAGCACTTTGGAACATTTGGAAGGAAAGAAACAGAGTAGTCTTTGAGAACCAAACTCAATGCCCAATGCCCATCTATAAGTGCCAAACTCATTCTAGAGCAAGCAGGGGCAACTCAACAAGCTTTTCAGAATGACCTCAATCCAAATTACATAAACTTTGTACTAACTATTTGGTCTTGTCCCATTGCAGGAAAACTTAAACTCAACACTAATGGATGCTCCAAAGGGAATCCAAGACAGTCAGGCTATGGTATAGCCTGCTCAGAGATGAAGTTGGCTCTTGGATATGGGGTTATCATGGGTACCTAGGCCATTGCACTAGCCTAGAAGCAGAAATCTGAGGAATATACAGAGGGCTGACCATTATTATGCAAAAAGGGCTATTCAATATCATCATTGAAACAGATTCTCACAATGCAATGGAAATGCTCACGGAAGGTGCTTCCAACAATTCACCCTATCAAGCCATTATTGAAGATGCCAAATTCCTTCTCAGCAGGTGTCAGTGCTCTATCCAACATACTCTCCAAGAAGGAAACCACTGTGCTGATGCTTTGGCCAATGTTGGAGTTAATCAACAAGAACGTCTTGTGTTTCTGGAGAATCCACCTAGCTCTCTTTTATCTTTTCTTATCACTGATATGGTGAATGCCAACTTTGTAAGGGATTAACTATCCCAGGACTACTTTGTTTGGAACTCTTTGTTTTAACTTATTCTCATGAAAAAAAAAAAAAAAAAAAGCATATGTGACCATTTTTTTTATTTTTTATTTTTAATGAATGATCTCTTCAAGAGATTAAAAAAATATATACAATTTAAATCAATGAATTAAAATCAAAATAATTATAAAATCATTTAAAGTAAACCCCGCACTTTAAATTGTGGATTGGATGGAAGCTTAGCCCGAAGGCCGCATAGGATTCGTTTGGCATGAAGATTTGGAATGAGTTGGGTTGGGTTGGCTTTATTTTAGCCACAAAAAAATAAAATAAGTTTTTTAATCTAATAAGATAAAATATCATATTCAAACCATAATTATTTAATTTTATCTCTCACAAAAATTAAAATGCCCAAAAATTCATTCTAAAAATAATTAAAAAGTCAAAAAGTGACAGTTCACACACATTGGTCTTTTTACTCTTTGCTTCTGATAGATAAACACCTTATCAGATAACAATGTGATATTGTGACAAGAACAAGACAACAATCCTTCCTTCCAGAATAGAAGGATTGTTATCTAATATAGCTTCCTTCTCTTCTCTCTCTTCTCTTTGTTCTTGCTTCCCATCTCTCTCTCTCTCTCTCTCTCTCTCTCTCTCTCTCTCTCTCTCTCACTCTCTCATTGGCATTGGCATTATGGCAAGACCTGTACCAAGTCTTTCCATGCAAAAACTCCCACTCTTGTCCATGTCATTCACCTGTCTCTTTATACTAATAGGAGCCTTCTCTATATTCTCCATTGTCACATTTCTATGTGGTTCACACAGACGAAAGGAGGAAAGAACCGTGGAATTGGGCGACAAGAAGCCTGTTTCAAGGTTGCAAAGTAATTTAATGGTTAAGATGATCTCTTGGAGGAAGGTCCAGCATGAAGAAAAAGAAGAGGAAGAACTTGATGTTGATGAAGCAGCAGTGTGGAGGAGGACGATCATGATGGGAGAGAAGTGCAGGCCTTTGGATTGTTCTGGGAAAATTTTGTATGATTGTAATGGAAATCTTCTACCCGATTCACCTCATGATCAGAGCCGCAAAAAATCCTAAATTTTTTCCTGGGTGTGAATGTCTTGTTCCAAATACTAAGATCGATCTCAGGAGCTGAATCCTCTATTCCACCCTCTGTTTCAAACTCCATCTGTATCAGACGATACATAAAAATGGTATGATAAAGAGGGTACTTTGGAATAAGAGTACATTAGAAAAATGGGACTGCGATCTTTAGTCTTCTATTTTCTCTTCCTTTTTTGTATTTCTTTTATCTGTTTTCTTTTAAAATAGAGTATGTTTTGCAACAAAAGTTGTGAATAGAAAAAAATAATTTTGTTAATGTTGTAAGAAGTTTAAATTTCTTTCCATTCAGCTGAATGTGCCGTACGGTAATTTCACTGGCCCTCTCATGAAAAATTGAATTGAAAATCTAATTAGCTGCGTGTATTTTCTTTATTAAAATTTGGCACTATCATTCTAACTCAAATTAATACATCAAAAAACTAGGTAATGTTATGTAATTATTCAACAAAACCAAACTCCTAGTGTGTAATTTTCCCAATCGGTACATCTATTATCAGAGAACAATACAATCTACAATCCAAACTACACCACAAAAATCATTACCTAAATAGAAGAAGGGTAGGAAGCTGGTCACTTTCACTCTCCTTGGCCACTTTCAACTCCTTTTCTTGTCCCTTCTTTCCCTCAAACAAAGAAAAAGCACAAGGAATGGCAATGGTGAGATCAAGGTTCAAGTTCAACTCATTTGAGCTTGAATTGTCATCTTCAAGGCAAGTGGCGTTGACCGACACCCCATCGTTGCCGGTGAAGGCTTTCAATGGCTTGGAGGCATCATTGGTGGACTCAGATGACGTGGTGAGATTTGACATGGACTGGTTTTGTGGGCGAGGAAGGGTTTGGTTCAATCGATGGTTGTTTGGATCGATACCAATTCTTATTAGCTTTCTCTTTATGTGAGAATTCCAGTAGTTCTTTACTTCATTGTCCGTTCGCCCCGGTAACCTTCCAGCTATCAGGGACCACCTAACAGTCCATAAAGATTCATTAATTAGCCATAGTAGAGGCAAGCAACAGCAATTGCACCCAGTTTTCTACACAAGTCCTATCTGTAAAAAAGACTGGACGCTCTCAAGCGGATCGGACGCGTGGATTGAAGAGAATTTAAGCCCTAGGTTGTATTCCAAGTGCGAGGTTGAGAGCACTCGTGGAAGAATAAGTCTATATATATATATATATATATTTATAATTTTTGAAAAATATGAAAAATGTATGTCAGAACTATTAAATGCACTTTGAGTGAGAATAATGTAAATACCAAAGTATCCCTCTAATAGGTCTTGTTATGCCAACATGTACAATTATTTTAGAAAAAAATATTTTCAACAATGAGACACAGAGAGAGAGAGAGAGAGGGTACCGGTTGCCAAGGAGGGCGTGGAGCTTGATAATGAGATCCTCTTCATCTTGAGCAAAATTGCCCCGTTTGATGTCTGGCCTTAGATAATTTATCCATCTTAGTCTGCAACTTTTACCACAACGATGCAACCCTAATCCACATGAAACAACCAGGTAAGACATATATGATTCAAATTAACTTAGAGTAGTTCAATTTTGTCATAATTTCTAAGGTCTATTAAAATTAAAAATTTAAGTATTCTCATTTGCAAGAATTTAAGACATTTTTTGTAATGTTTTCCTTTTCATTCTTTTTAGAATTTGAAAACGAAAACTTGTTTGACATATTAGTTTTATTTTAAAATTTTTTTAGAAATGAAAAAAAAAAATTATTTTCACTTATTTTATTTTATTTTTAAAACAAATTTTCACTCTTCATCATCTTTGATTGACTGTTGACAAGTTCCGAGCTCTAACCACCAGTCAATCACTACCCATGACTTCCAGCCACCATTTAGCCATCACATCCGTCCGCCCTCCACCGTTGACCGCCACCTTTGCCACTCACTAAACATGTTTCTTTATTTTTATTTTTGTTTATTTTCAAAATATTTTTATACACCAAATAAGTTTTTAGTTTTATCAAAAAAAATTTAAATGAATTAAAGAAAACTTATCAGACAACACCTAAATCTATTGTGTCCAAAAGGTTGTGTTTAATATTTTCCTACATGTTTATGTCATTAAAAAAAGAAAAGAAAAAAAGTGAGGTTTTTGAGAGAGAGAGAGAGATACCAACCAGCAGCCATGGGGAGGGTACGCCAAGAACCTTCACCATGGGTGTGAATGTAATGGATAAGCTTCTGGTCTTCTTGCTTTGTCCATGCTCCCTTGTGTGTTTCTTTTTTATCACAGCATGGCTTCCTCATTCCTTCTTCTTTTTCTTCTTTTTCTTCTTTATCCTATACTCTTCCAATACCCAAATGGAAACACCAACAACCAGAGAGAGAGAGAGAGAGAGAGAGAGAGAGGGCACTGATTTGAGGGCAGAGAAAGAGAGAGAAAGGTGACCTAAATATACCTCCATCCCACCACTCCAAAAGTCTATGACAAGAGGAATGGGTTGACTTGGACTGGCAGTTTTGGCCGTTTAGGTGGTGGGTTGGTCTGGTCAGTGGCCACACACAACTCCTTCAACCCATAAACAGTGCTAACTTTTACCGTTAAGAATACGTCTCCATCCTTCACCCCATCCATATAATCACTCCACAAAATAAAAAACGGAAATTATTATTTAGTGTAAATTTATACCATAATTAAATAAATAAATAATACACAGTAATGGTAAATTTTATGAACATTAATAATTAAAATTCTGAAGTTTTTCATTTGTAAATATTTTATTAAAATATCATTGAATTGTAATTCTCCCAAAAAAAAATCTTTTAAGATAGAAACCGATAACACAATTAAATATAAATTTTTTTAATTTTGAAAAAAGGGAAAAATGTTTAGAAAGATAAAAAATAAAAAAATTAGGATAAATTATGACGGTAGTCCATGTACTTTGATCATTTTGGTTTCTATAATTCCAATTGTTTTGATTTTGATAATAAATTTATGATATTGTCTTAATTTAGATTACAACTCTTAATAATATTTTAGGGAAAATCGGTTTAAGGTCCCTATCCAACTTTTAGTAATGGATTAGGTCCACAATGTGTTCTTTTGTAGCCTAAGGTCCCTCAATGTTATTTTAGAGTGTAAAATACCTGTCTTACCCTTGTTTATAATATACGTTGTTTTCAATTTGGCAGTTAAAGATCATATTGATATTTTGTGGGAGATTACGTGAGGATGAATTTGACGATTCAGATTTTTGTGGAAAATCGGTTTAAGGTCCCTATCCAACTTTTAGTAATGGATTAGGTCCACAATGTGTTCTTTTGTAGCCTAAGGTCCCTCAATGTTATTTTAGAGTGTAAAATACCTGTCTTACCCTTGTTTATAATATACGTTGTTTTCAATTTGGCAGCTAAAGATCATATTGATATTTTGTGGGAGATTACGTGAGGATGAACTTAACGATTCAGATTTTTGTGGAGATTTTCTAGGGTTTTGTAGGTGTTGAAATCCTGTTCGTTGTTTGTAGGTGTTGAAATCCTGTACGAGTTGAAATCATGTTCGTTGTTTGTAGGTGTTGATTGATCGTGTAGGAGTTGAAATCTGGTTCATTGTGTTTGATTTGATTTCATGTGGAGTTGAAATAGATAAGTTTTCAATTTTTGATTTGATTTGATCGTGTAGGTGTTGAATTAGGTTTTTGTTTTTAGTTTTGATCAATGTGAGAGAGACGAACTCAGTGTTGTTCTTTTTGATTTTTGAAGTTAATTTTTCATTATCTATTATTGATGAATTTTCGATGGAGTTGATTTTGATTTTTGGAGTTGCTTTTTCATTCTCTGTCAACATGGTTATGAGTTCCTTTTTGGTGCTCTGTTTTTCTGCGTTTTGTGCTCTGTTTTTTGTTCACTTTGCATTTTTTGTGTAGTGCAGAGAAAATTGCAGGTTTGTTACTATAATTGAACTAAAATCATAGAGAAAATTGTAAGCTTGTAGTGTAGTGAAAATCACAGAGAAAATTGTAAGTAGGCAGAGAAATTTACAGACGTAGCAATAGAGCAGTAAATGTTTTGTTTTTTTTTTAAATTTTTTTTGAATTAAGTGTTTTGTGAACATAACAGATTTTCTCTGTGATTTTTTTATGTGCTTGTGTTTAATATATTTTTGTCTCTTGATGTTAATGTGTTTTTGTTTTTGTTATATTGAAAGTGAATATAAGTTCACAAATTTCTCTGGACTTTTCTTTGTAGTCCAGAGAAAATCATATGATTGTATTACAAATGATAAGTATTACAAATTTCTCTGGACTTATATGTTGTGTTTTTATATGTTTGCACTTTTCAAAGTTTTCTGATATGTTTTCTTTGCACTTTTCATTTTTTTTTTTTTTGCACTATTCATGGTTCTGGACTTTTCTTTGTAGTATAGAGAAAATCATAGGTTTGTTATTATAATCCAATGAAAATGACAGAGAAAATGTTAAGCTTGTAGTTGAGTGAAAATCACCCTTGAAGTTGGTGTCTTGATCTTGATGCTTATTGGTTCTTCAAGGTAGCAACAGAGAAAATTACAGAGAAAATTACCTTGACAGAGAAAATTACCTTGTAATCCCAGAGAAAATTACAAGGTAGCAACATAAACATGACAGAGAAAATTACACGACAGAGAAATTTTGAGGAAATGAAGCATTGAACAAAATAAATATGCCAGAGAAAATTAGACACAAGACTATATATATATATATATATATGTTTGCAACCATAGATAAGATAACTAAGAGTGACTGTTTGATTATGGTTGCAAATGGTCTTAATTGATTAATTATCATATATATACTAGTCAAGACAATAAGCAACAGATTGTATATATATATATATATATATGTATGTATCATATATATATACATCTATTAAATTTTTTTGAAAAGAAAAAATAATAATGCATACATGTCGAAGAAGATCTGGAGTCGAGAATCGAAGCTCTGATCAATGACTTGAGACCAATACTCGTAAAGCTCATCTCTGCTGATCTTGTCAACATTCAACTCATTTGAAGATGAACAGACGTAGGGTATTTTGGTCCAAGAAATTGATAAAATGAGCTGGTATTTTGGTTAGGGACCTGAGGCAGTATTACATTTTTTAATGTCCTTTATGCAGAAAATTGTTATTATTAGGGAGCTTAAAAAAAAAACCCCAATATTTTATGATGTTATATTTTCAACGGCAAAATTATAAATTTATTCAATTTAATGAGTTAACCTCAATCAATTCAATGATAATTTTTCGTTAAAAATACTAACAGCATTATCAATTAGACCAGATTGACACACAATCTAAAAATAAATTTCAAAATTGAATTAATTGAAATTATAAGTACGAAGATGTCAGTAAAATTTAGGGAGATAATTTATCAAAAAAATTATTTCTGAAAATCAATCTGAACAAAGGGATTGCTCTTAAAAGTGACCATTTGTAGTTTTTATCCCGTTTCCAACTAACATGATATTTTCCCTTTTTTTAAAATATAGCAAATCTTACACCTACATGTATATGCACATTAAATTAAATTAAATCAGAGTGGTTGGTAAAATCAAGTATATTATTTCGATTGTAAGATGTGGATGGGATCATATGAAAATCTGCCAGTCCAATAGACACCAACTATCTTACACTATGTTTAGTTAGGAAATTTAGGAAGAGATTTGAAAATAAAAAAAGAAAAGATAAGTGAAATATAAATAAAATATACCTATATTTCACATAATTTCGCATATGTTTTTCCTTTCGCTTTCCCTTTCCAAATCTCTTCATAAATCTCTTACATTGTGTTTGGTTGGAGGATTTGGAAAGGAGAAAGAAAAAGGGAAAATGTGTGTGAACTTAGGCAAAATGTAAGTATATTTTATTTACATTTTACTTTCCTTTTTTATTTTTCCTTTCTAAATTTCTTTCCAAATCTTCAAAACAAATACAGCATTAATTAAACACAGCGTTAACAAACGGGACTTCTATGATCATTATTGTATATAGAGAGAGATATGTTTCAACTCTCAAGTATAGATCCAGTCATTTAAAGGAAAGAAAGTAATACTATACTCTTATCAATTTTTCTTATTACTAGATATAAAATTAGTGGAACTGATCATATGTATTTTTTACTATGAGTCTCACTATTTTTATGTTGTGATATCAAAATCTGATAAAAAAAAATATAGCAGGGGTAGCATGTGCCTGATACATTAAGTTGACTTTGCAACATGTGACAATTTAATTGATATATATATATTTGAAGTTAGATGATGAGTGGCTTTAATTTTGATTTTTTTGATTTTTAATTTTTAATTTTTAATTTATAATAAATTGCACCAAATAAAACTATATCCTTGTTTCAGTCAGTTGCAGCCCATCAAACTATCAAACTTGAAACAATTCTAAATTGGTACCCAACCTCACCAATTCAATGTCCTCACTACCTAGTATCAACAACCTTAGCTCATTCTCCCTTTCCCAACCTACTCATGGACTTCAATCACTCAAATTGTTCTAGAGGCCCTTCAACTACCTCTTGTGACAAATGTGTCTCCCTTGGTTAGGCTTTTACTATTCCCTGGGCTCTAATCTTTTTACTCAAAAGCTATAAAATTTATCTTTTGATTTGTTTGATTAGAAAATATATATATATATATATATATATATATATGAAAAGTGAAAATAGTAAAACGGGAAGTGAAAGCAAAGAAAAGAAGGAAAGTAGGAGTATGTTTTATTGCATGAATTTGATTATATTGAAAATTTTGCAAAAAAAATAGGAATTCTAATTATAACTAACTACATTTTTTATAAATTTAAACTTTCTTATTTATTTTATTTTTTAATATTTTTTTACAAAAAACTAAAATGCTAATTACCATACTATCATGAGTTGTAAAAAAAAAACAAAAAAAAAAATTTCTTATAAATTTCATCACTTTCATGCTAAGTAAATTTAAAAGGAAATTTTTTTTTAAAAAACAAAAAAAGCAAAGGAAAAAAAATCCCCCCAGTCAAAAATGTAGGGCAAAAAGCACATAGAGTTGGAAGATCCAAATGTTAAAAGAATCATTTTATCAATTTGTAAGATTTTGTATTTTTAATTAAAAAATAGTTTAGATATTCTGTTATATTTTCAATTTAGAAATTCTTTTATCAAATAGCAAGTGTTGATATTTGGTATTTTTGTGTGGAAAATATAAAGCTTAATTTTGTCATTTTTAAAAAAAAAATCAAATTAAATAATTTTTGAATTAAAAATAGTAATGAAATAATTTTGATAATACATAGTTTTTTTATATGTATTTATTATTGATATTTGAAAATTTACTTGATAATCTTTTGGTTATGTTGAGTTGGATTGTCATCAAAAAAAATATTGACAAGTTGTG